GGCATGTTCCAGTTCAGTAGCTTAAAATCCATTCAGAGGCACTATAAGATTTATTCTCCTGACAAGCTGCTTTAAGTTAGATGTACCTTTGGACTCGGGGCCTTGAAAATATTTCACTTATGCTGAGTACATGTAAATTTCTATTTCTACCCCCAAACTTACTTAAACTCTAATCCCTTATCTCCGCCTCCCTACAAAATAACTCTTCTCGAATTTTTCATTATAGTTTCAAGCTGAACATAACTAAAATCAAACTTACATCTCCTCAAAGGTTCTCTTTCCCAACCAACTCCCTATTTCTATTAAAGGTTTAAAATCCAAGTAATATTGGCTTCTTTTCTTTCAATCCCCATTATGTAGCATTTAGTCAACAAGGCCCACTTCAAAATATTTCACATATCCATTGCAACCTACTCTATTTTATTCAAGTTTTCTGTATTCTTTTTTTTAATGACAACCTTGAAAAAGACCAAGGTTTTTTATTCGTGCCTAGACCACCTTACCTCATAAACCACCCTCTCTCTCTGAATGCATTCTGCACAATACCCTCAACTTAAGTGTCTTTAAATACCAATGTTAACTATCTTATCTGCTGTTCAAAACTGCCATTACAATTTCCTGAACATACCACGTTCTACCTTAAGACATCACTTATTCTGCCTCCCTGCTCTTATTTCTTACCTCTGTTCTCCTCTCCTTTGCTTAAATATATCTTATCTATACTTTAGGGCTTATCTCAAATCTCATCTATCATGAAATCCTCTCTTCTGACTATTCTAGCTAATTTGGGGTGCCCTGCTAAAGTCCTTTAGCTTACTAGCTTACTAACCATGTGACTCTGGGCAAATTACGTAATCCTTTAAGCTTCAGTTTCTTTATCTTCAAACTGCAACTCACAGGGTTGCTGTGAGGATTAAAAGATATATCTCTTTATGAAGCTCCTTGGCACAGTGCCTTATATATATTAAGAATAAATACTATTATGACATCCATTATTTAAAACAATCTATTAGTATTTATTAGGTTTGGGAAACATAAAAATATTAATAATTTTGTGTAATTGTGGGTTTTTCCAGACTCTTTTTTTTTTTTTTGAGACAGTCTTGCTCGCTCTGTCACCCTGGATAGAGTGCAGTGGTGTCATCATAGCTCACTGCAACCTCGAACTCCTGGGCTCAAGCAATCCTCTTGCCTCAGCCTCCTGAGCAGCTGGCACTAGAGGTGCTCGCCACAACACCCAGCTAATTTTTATCTTTTTAGTAGAGACAGGGTATCCCTCTTGCTCAGGCTGGTCTTGAACTCTTGATCTCAAGTGATCCTCCCACCTCTGCCTTCCACAGTGCTAGGATTATAGGCAGAAGCTACTGCACATGGTCTAAGACTCTTTTTAAACAGAGCTAAAGTTTCTCTGCTTAGATATTTTTCATCATTACTCTCCTGGATTGAGTAATGTGGTAATCCTCTGTCACCCTATATCCGTATCAATTGAACAGGACCACAGAAGATAAGTGCTTTCCCTTGTTTTCCTACAATGCTTTTTTTATACCTCTTTTCTAGTTGATAAGAATAATCAGTGAAATTTTAATTTTTCTTCAATACTTTGAAGTAGACTACAGGGAGAAAATTCAGATAGTCTGGGGGTTGGGTGTGGTGGCTCACGCCTGTAATCCTAGCACTCTGGGAGGCCGAGGTGGGAGGATCACTTGAGCTCAAATGTTCGAGACCAGCCTCAGCAAGAGCGAGACCCCGTCTCTACTAAAAAAATAGAAAGAAATTAGCTGGGTGTGGTGGTGCACACCTGTAGTCTCAGCTACGCGGGAGGCTGAGCCAGGAGGATCGCTTGAGCCCAGGAGTCTGAGGTTGCTGTGAGCTATGCTGATGCCATGACTCTAGCCCGGGAAACAGAGTGAGACCCTTGTCTCAAAAAATAAAAAAAAACAAAAACACAAAACCCCCAAAAAACCCAATCAGATAGTATTGGTGTTAAATGCCTGTGAAAGCTGAGAAAGACTTTTCTTTTCCTGTTGAATTATCTTGGCACCTTTGTGAAAACCAACTGGCCAAAAATAAAATACAAGGATCTACTTGTATACTTTCTATTCTATATCATTAATATGTGCCTCTTCTTTTTTTTTTTTAAGAGATAAGGTCTCGTTCTGTAGTCCAGGCAGGAGTGCAGTGGTAAGATCGTAGCTCACTGTAACCTCTGACTCCTGGGCTCATGTGATCCTTCAGCCTTAGCCTCCTAAGTAGCTAGGACTACAGGCATGTGCCACCACACTGGATAATCTTATTTTTATTTTGCTAGAGATAGGGTCTCCATATGTTGCCCAAGCTGGTCTTGAACTCCTGAGCTCAAGTGATCCTTCTGCCTTCATCACCCAAAGTGCTAGGATTACAGATGTGAGTCACCATGCCTGACCTACTGCATGATTTTTAATGCTATTATAAATAATACTGATTTTTAAATTTCAATTTCCCATTTTTCATTTTAGTATGTAGAATTACTATTATTCCATATTTACCTTGACCCCTGCAACCTTCCTAAAAACTCACTTATTCTAGTGTTGTTTGGGGATAGATTCCTTAGGATTTTCTACAAACATGGTCATGTTACTTATAAAAGAGAGACAGTTCTTCCTTCACATCTGTATACCTTTTATTTCCTCTTCTGTTTGATTATACTGTCTTGAATTTCCAGTACAATGTTGAATAGAACTGGCATGACAGTGAACATTGATGACTTGTGCCGGAACTTTGAGGTTAAACTGATAAACCTCTAGCTAGCTGGACTCCACAACTCTGATAACTACAAGAGAAGTCCCCGTACTAAATAAGAGGTGTGCCCTCATCTGTGCTACGAACTGGTTATTGCCTTCCAAGCTCCCTCTAGTTGTTGGCAGAATCTACCTCCTTGTGGCTAAAGGATTAAGGTCCCCATTTTCTCACTGGCTAACAGCAGAGTTACAACTCTCAGAGGCTAGCCATGTGGCCTTCTCTGAAGGCCCTCTCAGAACATGGCGGCCTATATGTCTTCAAAGCCAAACAAGGAGTCTCTCCAACTCCAGACAACCTACTCTTTTTGACAGTTAATTTGTAATTTCTTATACTATTCACAGCTATTGCACATAATATGCATTCAGAAGATGTTCAATATGTGCTTAGAAAGAAATGAATTAAGAGCAAGCAAAGGGAAGAGAAAACAAATGAGTTTTTAGCTAACAAATTAGTTATAAAATAGCAATAATGGGAAGATTTTCATGGGGGAAATTTTTTTTAATATACTTTTTTTCTTTCTTTTTTTTTGAGACAGAGTCCCACTGTCACCCTGGATAGAATGCAATAGGGTCATCTTAGCTCACTGCAGCCTCAAACTCCTGGGCTCAAGCGATCCTCCTGCCTCAGCCTCTCGAGTAGCTGGGATTACAAGGCTC